CATACAGGCTCCACTTTACAATGGTACAATATGCTTTTATAAACTTTGAATGTCTGACATTGTCTTTTATTATATTTATGTACAAAATCCACATGTATTAACCAAAACATCATTGCAGTTACTTGGGACAGAGTAAGCATTTGGCCAGCATTTAACAAAATAACATTTCAGAAAGCCCATCTGATCCTGCACAACATTTGCAGTATGCCTTAGGTAACCTGTCATACGACTTAAGTGGCTATTGAGAAAAGCAGTAGGGGAGAGACAGGAAATGGCAGGCAGCTCTTCAGGTTTCTGAAGGTAGGCAGAATCACTTCCAATTAAGCTACTGCATAATTAAACTGTGGACTAAGCTGTTAAAACACTGCTGGCAGGAGTGTGGCAGGACTGCATGAAGAGAGCAGATGCACATGCTGCATTTATGTCATCGAAGCCACCAGCAGGATGGTTTTGGCAGTAAGGCGTTGTCACTTGTTCACACTCATCTGAAGCTAATAAGGATTACTGAAATGTTTGCTGCTCAGTCTGGTGTCTTAAGATTACCAGTTGGTTGACAGTGTAAGCAACTATCATTCTGTCAACAAATCATCATGCCATTAAAGTTCCTGTTTTAGAGCAACAATTTATTCTCTTTTTACACAAAAAGCCTGGCAGACTTCAGGCATTTATTATCCTTGTTTCACTGAAAACCTTATTTATATGCAGTCCTAAATCCCCCAGTTCAACAGGTTTTACCATCTTCCCAGCATACGCAACACTTTTCCCCCCAAATCCATCTTTAATGAGGTCAAATTAGAGCTCTGGGAGAAAAATCTGAACACTGTAATTTTTGGAATATATTTAAAGAAAAATGATTCATCTTGTGTCAAAACAGCTTTTAATGACTGCTTAAATCTAACAATAGCTGAGCATGTGTGTGACTAGACTGCACACCAGAAAGAAATTGGTGGATGGTGGATGAAAAAAAGAAGAAGAGAAAAATGAAGAGACTCATTTTAACAAAAATGTCATGTTTAGCCTGAGGGTAGAGTAAATGCCATGCTGTAGCCTAGAGAGTTTATCCTGTTGGGTGTCCTTGCCTAATGGTCAAAACACAAACAATTTAAATGCAGCAACCCAGGATGCTTCCCATACAAGGCGGCTTGTTGCTGGCATTTTCCTGCCATGTCATAAAAACACATACATAAACTTGTAAAAGACCACAAACAATTTAATATTTGTACATGTATATTTTTATCTCTCTCTTCTTCATTTCCACCTTATCCTCATCACCTCAAGCGTCACCTCCTGAAATGATGATATCATTTCAGGAGGGCTCTAATAAACAAAAATGTGCATAAACATGTTTAATTATTTTGAATATTGTCACAACTACTTATTGTCAGCAGATTAGACAATAAAGCTAAACCAGAGCCTTGCTGGTTATAAGCTAACATTATTCCAACTAATGTTGGACTCAAATGTTTTTAAAAAATAAAAAAAAAAATAAAAAATCTCACTTTCCCTCTGAGTTTATTCACCAAGTGTCCGAGTCCAACAACGTTACAGCGACTGCAAACAAAGTTTCAGTGACACCAGCTAAGAGTAGCTAAGTGCAACAAAATCCACTAAAACTCAACAACTAACCTCAGTATCGTCATTAGACATCAGTGAGCTTCACCGATTCATAAACTCGTATCAGACTCAGAAGGTTTACAGCCTCCTCCAGATTAAATGGATGTAAACAAGCAGCATACTGATGAGGTAAACGGCAGATTGGCAGTCTACACTCGACGGCCAGCATTGTTTGTCCTTAACCGACCACTGTATCTAGGATTAGGTGCTTAAAATTGGGAAGGGTAAGAATAGAATTCAGTTGACTGCAATCTACTGACATCTAATCATGAGCTTTTATACACTACCTTTAAACAGTAACCCTCAAAACCACTGCAATCAAGACTCTTGGGTATAATTACAGATACTGACATAATGCTCACATGTAATAATTATGATTCCTAAATAGTTAATGCAATTGTTATTTTTCATTACTTTGACAAACCACTTAGATTTAATCTGCAAGTCTGTACTACAAATACATCTTGACCACTTTCACAGCACTAATATTTTTGAAGTTGCTCATATTCTAAAACAGGACGACAGGCAATGAAGAAGAATTCTGAAGATATAATCAAAAACTGCTGTCAGTATTTTTCAGTTGATGCACAGCCAGTTTTATAATAACCCTTCGCTCACTGTTCAATCTTTCTATTTGAATCTTACGCTGGAAAACTTACTGGTGAGATAAAGAAAAGTAAAGAGAGCGATTTCTGAACAGGACATCAGAAGCGAGCGAATCAATTAGCAAGCAAACAATGAATTTGATCCCAAACTATCAAAAATACAGTAATCACCAGCTTTCAACATTAGAGCTCAGAGAAGATACGTGTTATTTAAGTTGGGGAAAAAATTACTTCAAATGAAGCATAGAGCTTGCCATGTGACGGTCATCAAACAAGATGCAGAGCATTATGTAGGTGACACCACATGCTTTTCCAAACCAGGAAACCAGAAGGAGGAGTATTAGTAGGGTCAAAGTGAAGTAGTTTTGTCTTTAAGCTCTGTAGCCAGGATGATGGCATCAAGCTCTTACTGTTTAATGTCCTTGACCTTTGCCCTTTCAGCCGCTGCTTGTGCCTTGTCATAGGTCTTCCTGCGCGAGAGCGGGGAAGGCTCAGGAGCTCGCTTTTCCACGCCTGGCAGATTTCTGGAGCCAGAACTGAATGTTCAGTTTTACCGATTTATCCACAAACAACACAGATAATATAACAAAAAAAAAGATTTTTAAAACAAATGGAAATGAAACCAATACAAAATAATGGCAACAATGACGAGATGAGCATGCAGTACACACAGAAATACAGTTACCTGATGTTACAGTTCCAAAACAGTGATGGTTCTTCGTCAAGCTCATGTTTAACAATGAGTGCAGTGTGTGCTGCACATCCACAAATATAATTCTAACTGTATCATTTTTGATGGATTATTATCAGCTAAGGTTTATTCTTACATAAAGCAACTGGCTCCATTTTAAAGCACTGCTTGTCACGAGACATTTAATGCAGCCTGGTTAGTATTTCTTTTATTAGTGTGCAACTGACCTGGAATGAGGAACGGCAAGGGAGACTTTTGCAGGGCACAGTAATAATCAAGCAATACAAAATATTTGCTCGTCTCTACATGCTTTTCTCAAATAGATTCATCAATTGCTGTAAGGTATAGCAAAATGTGAAGGTGCTTGTAAACAATATATAACTAAATAAAGCAAAGAAGCGCAGCAACAACATGCAGAAAAAAGAGAAGGAGGAATTAATCTGTTAGTAAGAGTGCAGGGCCTGAACTTACATGCTGCCCATTTTAGAGGAAAAGCCAGGGGAGAGAGCTGCGTAGTCCCTGACTGAGCCTGACAAGTCCATGTCTCCGCCCGCATCGGGTGTTTCAGCTAACGGCAACATCGGACTAGAAAAGTCGACAGTAGGTGCATCAGGGGCAGAGTCACTGTTAGCGTAGAGCAACTCCATCTGAGTGGTCGTCCTCCTGCGAGCCTGTACAGCACAGATAAGTGAACAATTAAAAATACAGAAATGGTTTTAGGATAAGGCATCAAACATGTGCAACAAACTCTACAATACCTTATTCCTTGTTTTGGTCTCTCCACAAAGTTTCATGAAATCTGTAGCCAGAGTGCTGGAGGAAATACAGACAAGTTTTTTAATGCAAACACTCATTATAGAATGTGCTTGGACTACACTGCTCCTCTCTGCTTTACTGCTTTGCAGTATAATTAAACAATACTTCTCATAATTAACAAGTTAATTATAAGAATAGTATAAACATTAATGTGAACATAAAAGACAAAATGCAATTTCATTAAAAGATACAATAAAACATCAAATGTTAAATGCAATAATATAACAATTCATGAACTACTGAAGCAACTTAACATAAATGTGACAAAATATGCCACAAGATAATATTTTAAATCTACAAATACATTGTTATAGTACTTTTTAAGCACTATAACAGACTTACTTTCCCTCTGCAGAGGGGCTCTGGGCAGATTCGTCACTGCTGCTATCGTCCCCGTTTTCTGTCAGATGAGATCCGTGAACAGAGAATATTAGATGGAGTGATTTAGCTGAGATGACTGGTCAGCTAAAATGGTTCTTAGTAAGTATACTTTACTAGAGACTTAAATAATTTAACTTCTTTATTTTAACCTTTGCAATTTTGATTTCTTTTGTATAACATGTAGAAAAATGAACAGATGAAGCAGATGAGGGGTGATGTCAGCACAGCGCCATGCTGTTTAATTGATAAACCTGGCCCTCGACGAGCTCATTAATACCAGATGGCTCAAAAACAGATGAGGTTCAAAGTCAGAGAGAGGTCATATTGGGAAGATTTTAAAGAGACATGTAAGGGAGCTGATATGAATGTAAAAGAACCAACATGAGATAACAGGGTGGACGAGTGCAAGAAATCATTAGTCTGCTGGTCCTGATGGGTCAGCTGACCTACAAGGTCTAACAGAGCAAAATATCCACGTTATATGGTTCCTGTAGAAGAGTCTGGGGTTAGCAGGTGCTAAAACATGGAGGCTGTAGCACATGTGAGCTGCAAGGAGGAGGGGGAGGACAGAGGGTAGGAGGAGTGTATCCAGATAAGGAGAGGGGAAAGCTTCAGCCAACACATGGAGGGGAGCCTGGTTGCACTGCACCTCATGCACCTGTTTATGTTATGTTCAGTTAGTTCTCAAAGTGCAAAGGGAAGGAACCATGCATTCATAACCGATTAGAGTCCAATAGGGTTTCACTTACCAGGCGGGATGTTACCTAGCTCTGTAAACACATAAGAAAACAAAAAAAGGGAAAAGAAAAGATGGGGGAACAGAAAAAGGCAACGCACAAATCAAAAACCATCCCCCAAAATTCGAAAAAATAAATAAATAAATGAATAAATCGATAAAAAAAGATATAAAAATAAAATAAAATGCACCAACTGTCAGAGCATCCTACCGAACAGAGGCTGGCAAATTCAATATCAAAACAAAAAGAAGTAATCAGCTTTAATTACAAGCATGTAAATAGAAACAGTATTATACTAATGTCGTATATACTTGTGTACACAGCACCAAAATGTAACCATGGAATTAACTGTCGGTTATACAACAGGGACGCCAGCTTCTATTCGGCAGAAGGCAACAAGCAATATCACCTCAAAAGGCCCAATCATGCAACTGACCAGTTACCCAGTGCACCTCCTGACAGCAAAATCATTTCTAACACGAGTATGAAAGCAACATTTATGCTGCTAAATTTAAACACGTACACTCAGGGAGAGAAATAGATCTAAAACATCCCAGAATTAAATTCTAATCTCAGCTTTGCCTGGCAGTGACACTTTCAGTGGGTGGGCAGGGCCTGGTCCAAACTGGATACGTTTTTATTTTATTGTATCTTTTCATTTTTTTTTTATTCTACCTTGCAAAGCATTCCCCAGCAGCGCGTCCAGCTCTGGGTTAAACTCTGCCTTCTCCTTCAGCATGTGAAAGAGCAGCTGGTTCTGTGTGGCGCTGGTAATTTCAGTCTGCTTCAATCTGCCCTCCATCACCTTCACCTGAGACTCCCTCTGAGCTGCCTGCAGGCCCTGAAGAGGTCAGACCACAGTGTCAGGCCATTTCATCTGCATTTCATTTCATTTTTTGGTTAGAGTTGGAAGTTTCTGAGTTAATGCATAGAACAGATGCTACAACTTAATATCGTGCACATATGCAAATGAGCTTGCATGTCATATTGCTGATACTTGGGCTATATGACTACTGTACAGCAGTGGCAATTTTTATCAGTTATTAATAAAAAAAATTATCCAAGTTGAATTCTGGTTAAATAAAAGATCAACAGTGAAGGAACAACAAACAACAACAACATGAGAGGTTGTCTCAGATCTTTTTCCCTTTCACTCTCCGTCCCTTCCCCCCGTCTTGCAACCATGGGGAGCAGGGCTTTCAGCTGCTCTGCTCCATGACTCTGGAATTGTCTACCTCCTGATTTAAGAAACATCTCTTCCTTCTCTCTCTTTAAGTCCAAACTCAAAACCCACTTGTACAAAATAGCTTATCCCACATAACCTTTCCACTCTCCTATTTTTATTTGTTTATGTCTTATGCTTTTATGATTCTGTAAACTTCTTGCTTTTATGTTGCTTTTATTCTACTGTGTACAGCGACCTTGAGTGTTTTGAAAGGCGCATTTCAAATAAAATGTATTATTATTACAATGATCTTCTCCCCTGGTCGCTTACAACCCACCTACAGTCAACTGGTGTCCTACAGTTTCTGTTACTATACAAATGCATTTCTTTCTACATACAGAGGTTTCTACTATTTTGCACATAAAAGACACGTAAGCTAAATAACATCTATGTATAATCATGTTTGTTGTATGTTATTCATAAGGAGAGGAAATGGTGATGTTTTCACTGAACAGGTGTGATTTCTCTTTCTGAAGGAGGGTACCTTGTTAATTGCCATTGACATGAAGTGATCAAGGAGAAAACGAGCCTCTGTCAGTGTACAAGAACCAATCACAGCAGAGACGTCCACAGAATCACCCTCCTCCTGGGAGAAAGAAAAAGTAACATTTGAAGACCATAGTTAACAGAAATGAAATTTAATTTCCAACCTTGTTAACATGCCCATATGTTGTTTATTATGTGCTACAACGCATATTTTTAGCAAAATAATCAGAGAAAGCCACTTTTTCTCTTGGAACTGGAGTCCACGGTACTTCAGGCACTGCGTTTGTGCTATGAAGTTATTGTTACAGTTTCAGTATTGACTCTCTCATAGTTTTCCTGACAGTAAAAATGTGTATGGGCTCTCCTGAGTTAGAGTGAAACACACTTTATACACCTTAAAAAAGAAGAAATACAAAAGAAGAAACTATTTTAAATCAAAGATATATTCTTTCAAATTTACTCTTCAGTCAGCAAGTGCTAAGAACGCTGAATTTCAGCTGATTGTGACATAATGAAGGTCATTCACGTTCCACAGTCTATCCATTTCTTTTATATAGATGGTATCTGGCGACCTCCCCTCTGCCCAAGTTTTGACACCTCACTATATAATCAACAAAGATGCAATTTGACGACCAGTTTGAACAGTTTCCAGGTTTTTCCCGAGGGTCGTCCTATTAATCTGTATAGGCAGAGATCACCATCACTAACTGCTGATTCACACCCGGTCGTTTTATTCTGGAAGCAGGCCTGAAAACATCTCAGTTCAGGAAAAAAAGGCTTAAAACAAGCTAAACAACCCGTCTGAGGTTTTCAATATCTGGCTGCCAATTTCCAGAATCAGCAGGCTCTCTCACCTTGGTTTCCTCCATCTGCATGATGTTGGCCTGACAATCTGCAATACTGTCATTAATATAATCAATGTTGGCTGTCAATGCTTCCACTTCCTCATTGATGGGAAGAACAGTCTTCTCTGCCTCTGGCCCCTCTCTGAGCAGCCGGTCCTTCTTCCTGAGGACCTTCTCCTTGCGCTTGGTGAGCTCCTCCCTTTGCTGTGTGTTAAAAATGAAACAAATTCTTATATTTTTTCAATCACTGAGTCATTTCTGAATATGGGAAAAGTCACAGACGATGATTAAATTAACCTAAAGCAATGACATGTTCTTTGAAGCTCATTGATAAGGAAACACACAAGGATGCAGAGCAATATTAAATGAAACAACTGTTTTTGCTGCATTACGCTTAACAACAGCCACAAGGTCATAGATTTTAAAATTTCCCTACTGAAGATAAAAGAACAATTTAATGTCTTCCAGGCGTCTAGCAAGATATCTTTTAGGTCTTTCTCCTGATCTGCTAACATTCAAAATCTATACAACTGTCCTGCTTTAGGTTTTTACCTTGAGAAGGCGGTTCATGTCGGTTTCCATGTTAGAGATGGTCATCCTCTGCATGATGACATCAGAGATACGCCGCTCCAGGGACTGCCATTTGTTGCGAGCCATTCTGGTGCTGTAAACACTTCCTGTGCGCCTGTAAGAAGACCTGTACATGCAGCATCACTCATCAGTAAACTGTCCGATTAATACAGCCACTTATTTAACACCTAAATGTACAAATCCAGGGAGAATGTAGAAAGTGATTAAGAAACCCTCCATCGACAACAACTCAAATGTTCACATTGTGTGCATTTTAAAGTGGATTTGGACTTTTAGCTTAACATAATTTAGGATTAGTGAAGTGTTTCAACTATTTATCCTTTTAGGATATTTAATTAGTACACATTTAAGAATTTATCAAATATATAGATTTTTTTATTCATTCTGACAGCTAAAAGTTTTACATAATAGCCATCCGTGTGTTAATACTTTAAACTACTAACCGTATGTTTTACCTAATAACATTCATCTGTTTATCTTTCATTTCATGCGGTCAGCTTATACTTGTAACCGTTTATCCATACTTTTATCCACCAATTCAACTCTAAAGCTATACTGTTAATAAGAATTTCAACTGCTAGCCACAGTTTTGCCTAGATCTTTGGGCAGCACGGTCGTGCCATCCAGGGACATTTTTGAAGTTTAAAGTCTTGTTTAGATTAGATGATCTTTCCCTGCAGCAATCTCCTGGGGTACTAATCACAGATGCAAATAACTGAAGAAGAGATTTAGGTTTCATTTTATGAAATGAGGCAGGTAGGGTGTTCACTGTTTCCTGAAAATGTCTGCAATGTCTACATCTCAGAGCCTTCCTTCCAGCCGGCCTCTTTAAAAAAGTAAAAAATTATGCACTCAAGCAAACATTTGCGTGCACACAGACTCACCAGGTGCCATTGGGAGCACTGTTGCTGGAGGAGTACATGCGTCCAGAGGGGGGTCTGTGTGAGGAGTCCTGGACTGGTTCTGGAAGATTGACCTTTCGGATCACCTTACCCGAGGTAGGCCTGACCTGCCTCCTCAGAGCTGTCACCTGACACACAGAGCTTACTTGTCACACCAAAAAATGTGTAAACACAACATATACCGGACATATGCTTGCATCTACAGTCTCACAAGTACAATTAAAAAAGTTCAATCTGCTTCCTCTGTCAGAAATATTTTTGATGCCTCTCACCTCCTCAGTCTTCCTCCTCAGAATAAGCTCCTGCTGTCTTTTCTGAGCTTCCAATAACTTCAGCTGATGCTGAGGAGGAAACATGAATATAGTATCATCAAAGAAAGTAATGAAACTCGTGGCACAGACCGTGATATAACTGCAGAAGTTTATAAACTGACTGTTACTAACCTCCTGCTTGCGCTGGTCCTTCTTCAAAGAAGCTATTTCTCGGTTTCTGCGAGACTCGTTCATCCTGTTCTTCTCCTGTTGCTCCTTCATCTGCTTCATAAGACGGACCTGGATAGATCATATTAAACAATATTGGGCTTAGTAACAGCACACATGTAAACTAGAGAGCCCGCATCTCCAGTTTACATGAGTGTCATATCTGGTACAGTTATAT